CTTCAAACGAACAAACCTATCATCATCTGTTATAGCATCTATAGGTTGGTCACATGTCAACAAATCCATCAATTCATGAGGAACATTTAGGCAATACTTTATAATATTTTTGTTAGTTTAGCTAAGATCTCTTCATTACTCTGAATCCTGGGGTGTCATTCCAAACACGTTGAAGGAAGCATCTACTAATACTTGATAGTTGTTATCAATCTCAGCTGGAAGGTTACTTAATATCGTCAAAGCTGGCCCTTTTAGATGATCAAGATGAAATTCAAGTATATTCAAAGCTCTATTTATTTTCACTGAAATAATCTCAATTCTGACACCAGTGTTCTTTTGTTCGGCAGGTTCTTTTATATTATTTGGTGAAAATATGGTCAAATCCTATTCTTTTAATTGGCTTATTTCTTCCTTAATATATTTACGCTTCACTTATACACTCTTGTAACTTGTAGGCCTCATAAATTGAACTATGATGAATGTAGAAGTAAACTTTTGGTACAGTTCTATGGCTAATTGGTACAGTTCCATGGCTGATTGGTACAGTTCCATGGCTGATTGGTACAGTTCCATGGCTAATTGGAACTAGTACTTTCAAGATCTACATGTGCCGATTTTTTCGTTTATCAACGTTATATTTTAAGATCTATGCAAGAACTTAGCTAACAGATGTTTCCGATTACAAACATTGTGTACACAAAAAAACAGATTTCTTTTTAGTTGAGTCTTTAAAGATAATGAATTAGAGTGTGATTGAGGCACTTACTAGTTTGGGTGCAAGGTGATTTTCTTGTTGAGATTAGAAATACTACATTTCAGCTTGTAGATTTCAGATGTCATTTTAGAGAAAATAATGAATAAAATATAAATTTTTACTAAAACAATCTTTGATATTCACTAAGGAGGTCCTCCAGATTATGCATACATAATGTATTAATCTTAGTAATAAAACTAAAACATAAAAATTAGAAACTTACTAGTTTATATAAGAAAAATTAAGTTATACAATAACACAACTGTGAGTGTAGCATATTGTTATTTTACTGAGCATGCTGGTCACTCGAAGCTGTGTTTATGAAGAGCTTGGCATTAATTTAAGTGGCAGTAAATCTAAAAGACTATGATATCTGAATTGTATTAGAATAAATAGTGTGCAACTGTCTCTAACAATATGCAGTCATTCTAGAAAGAAAAGGAGTTAAGTTAGATTTATTTTGTATTTTTTTGTGGTGGTTACAAGGTTGGTCAAATGAACCGAGCCCCTATACAATGTTTGGGATGATATAATTCACACACTATAGGTACATAATGTATTAATCGTAGTAAAAATATGATATAATTCACACACTATAGGTACATAATGTATTAATCTTAGTAAAAATACTATATAATTCACACACTATAGGCTTTTTTACTAAGATTAATACATTATGTACCTATAGTGTGTGAATTACGTAATATTTTTATTAAGATTAGTACATTATGTACCTATAGTGTGTGAATTATATTGTATTTTGTTTGCATTAGGTCACATTTTTCAGAAATATGAGGACATTTTGGTTCTGTATCTTATATTAATTTATTAGGTTAGTTTTACTGCAAATCATAGAGATATTTCTTGGCTATGTATTAATTAAATCATCACCATAGAGTACTATCTGTATTAATTAAACATCCATAATACTTGAGTGTACATGTAGTTCTCATGTCAGATCCTTGTATAAAAGACCAGAAATCAGATGAGATACTATAAAATTGATTTGGGTTGTAGTACGTGAAGAATTATAATTAGCTGGAATTTATTTTAAGACAAATATAAATTTAAGAATTTCAATCTATTCCACCACTACAAAGAAAGTTTATAAAATAGGACTGCTTTTCTTTATCCAGATCAGGTATAATCGTTTCCAGTAAAATGTGCTTAGGATTTATTTTTTCTGTTTTAAAAAACATTGTGAATATATTTTTTGCAATGACTGGAAGACAAACCTGGAATCTAAAGTGATCATATTTTTTAAGTACATTTTAAATCATTATGTATAGACTGTTGTTATATTTTTAGAATATACAAAACATCTTTAGAGCATGCATGAGAGAACTGGAGGACTGTGTAAATACTGCACAGAAGAATATGATCATATTAGACATAATTTTTGAAATTCAATCTGTTTTTCTGAAAATTCTGATTCGGAATAAGGAATGTCAAAGAACAGAGACATAAAAGAGGAAAAGGAAAGAGCCAAATTATGAAAAGTAAAATTATAATCTTGTGAACTTTTAAGACAAGTATTAAATCTGGAGAAGTTGTCTTTTTTTTTTAAGCTATGTTGAAAATATAACTAATGACAAGTAATTTGAGTTCAGTAAACATAAAAAAATCCAAATCTCTTAAAGCTTTATTATAAAGCTGTGACTCATCAGAGCATGTTAGAGTTACTTTTAGTATTATTTAGGTGAAAATAATTGGGTTGGGAGGAGGTGCCACAAAGTTAAACATATATATATATATTGCCATACTGTTACTTGTTAAAAGCATTCGTGCTTGTTGTCTTCCTATTTCAGAATAACTTCCTTGACAGCACTCAGTTTGATGTTAATCCCCTCTACATACACTCCCTCCAGTCTCCGGACAGCTTCACTGGTTTTGCTGAGAGTGTCGGAAACATTGATAGCTCACAACTTCAAACAACAACAATCACAATGAGCAACTATGCCAAACAGGAGTAAACAATACTCCTTTGTATTGCTAAGTATATATGATAAGAGAAATTGTAAATACTTAATTTTGTAGTCTTCATGCTAATCAAGTCTGAAGCAGCTTGTTAGGTGAAAGCTCAAATTTTAACAGTTATAAGTACATTTCAACAAGTTTACTTATTAGCTTGGTTATTTCCTAATTAGCATATAATATCTTTACAAATAAGTAAGTACAAATTAAGGTGTATATATAATGTTTTCAGCAATTACATTAATTCATGTATTTAAATAGTTATGTAGAATGTTTGTCTTGAATTTGAAAAGTGTTGCCTTTAGTACCAGTAAAAGATCTGTGAATATGTCAAAATTGTTTTTGCATTTTGTTTAAATAAGTCATCCAGATTACTGTATTTTTTAATTAAATATTTTACTTAAAATCCCAACAAATTCTCCTTTTATTTTTTTTTCAAATAAGCCAATTTTTAAAGTAATTAGCATGTTCTTATAAATTTTATTAATTAGCCTTACTTAATGAATGATTCTCTGTGTAAATGGCATTTCTTATAATCCTTTGTCTCTCGTCATCCAGCCCAACTGACAAGTTGGATTGAAAAAAGACCATATTGGGCAGTGACTTGTGGGAAACAAAAGATAGATCTGAAATACTATTTGTTACACACATCTTATTTTGACCTTCAATGGATAAGTTAAGAAGAATGCAGAAAAATACAGAAAATAAGAAAAAAAAATTGTTCCAATATTTCATCAACTTTTGGCATTTAAACTGTAACAAATGACCCTACCTGAAATTTCAAATTGGACTTAAAGAGCAGACATAGTGATTATATTCAAAAGTACAAGATAACTGGAGGAACATATGTGTTATCTAGTCTCCTCTTTGCCATAGAAATGTTTCGATTACATATTATATAAATATCTGTTGAACAACATTGACATCCAAGTCTACGAAGGGTTGTATATGCAACTAATATAAGTGTATTATATGTGTGTGGAACATTTCTGAGTTGATAAAGTACTTGGATATAATATTTATTTTGTTATTATAAGTGTGAAATTCACATAGGAAGTTAACAAGCACTTTTTTTTTCCATTTTCAAATTTGCTAAACAGTTATTTCCCTGATATCCATTATAACCTTGATGAGTCATAGAGTGCATCCATATGATGATTTTGATGTTTTTCTCTAATTCTAAAACCTTTATTGGTCATATGATGTATCCTTATGGGGATTTTGTTCTGTTTGTTTGCTTCTGTAACATTGTTCAGTGTATCAGTATGAGAATTTTGTTCTGTTTGTTTGCTTCTGTAACATTGTTCAGTGTATCAATATGAGAATTTTGTTCTGTTTGTTTACTTCTGTAACATTGTTCAGCCAAATTATGCATCCATGTGGTGTATTTTGTCTATTTCTGTAAACTTGTTCAGTCCAACAATTAATTTGTGTAGGTTTTCTTGTTGTTTTATTTGTATTTCTGTAAACTTGTTCAGTCCAACAATTAATTTGTGTAGGTTTTCTTGTTGTTTTATTTGTATTTCTGTAAACTTGTTCAGTCCGACAATTAATTTGTGTAGGTTTTCTTGTTGTTTTATTTGTATTTCTGTAAACTTGTTCAGTCCGACAATTAATTTGTGTAGGTTTTCTTGTTGTTTTATTTGTATTTCTGTAAACTTGTTCAGTCCGACAATTAATTTGTGTAGGTTTTCTTGTTGTTTTATTTGTATTTCTGTTTCCTAAACATTAATCTAAAACTTTTGAACAGTTGTTGGTTTCATGTCATGATTATTCATCCAAAACATACTGTAAACAAATTTATTTATTTTGGTAAACCAACAACTGTTTGTCCTTTAAAGTGAAAATGAACCAATTCAAGTATTTGACACCTCACCAAACAGAAGGAAAATAAATGAAACATCCACAGAGTTTACAGTAGATTTTTACTTAAGAAGGAAAATAAAATTAAACATCTATGAAGTTTACAGTACATCTTTACTTAATTAGGAAAATATAATGAAACATCTACAAGGTTTACAGTACATCTTACTTAAGAAGGAAAATAAAATGAAACATCCATGGAGTTTACAGTACATCTTTACTTAATTAGGAAAATATAATGAAACATCTACAAGGTTTACAGTACATCTTACTTAAGAAGGAAAATAAAATGAAACATCCATGGAGTTTCCAGTACATCTTTACAATATGTTATAATTATGGTTTTAATTGTTTTAGATATACATATTGAAATTTAATTGGATCACAACTTGAGACTTGAATATTTATAAGTTTTATCAGTCACTTTGTTTGATAGAGGTGTATATTTATTTTGAGGTATTTAGATGTATGTGTATCATGTATTTTCTTTTTGACATTTTATGAACATTAATAGGACATTTCTAAACAACATATTCTTATCTTTGTCACATAAACAAAAAATGGTAATGTTGGAATATATTGTATCTTGAAAAAGTTTGTTTGTTTACATGTAATGTTAGTCTGCTTTTTGAAAAGTTAATGGAATTATATTGAAGAGTGATGACAAGTTGCAGCATTGAGTAAAATATTTGTCATTTTTTCAGGAACTGATTTTGTAATTTCAGTGCTATTATTAGTGATTTTTACATTCTATTTTTAAATAATGTCAATTTTACAACAACCTAAGGAACAAACTAATAATAATGATAAAATCACACTAGCTTGAAAATTGTTTTTCCATTTCTGTTAATTAGTCCATTATTGATTTGGAATTATAGGATTGTAAAAAGCAACATGCAAGGCAGATAAAAAACATGAATTTAAAATACTAATTTTACATGCCTCTAATTTCAAATCTGTAATGGACTAATTAAGATGAATTTACGGAAAACATCTGCAGCCTGTTGTAACTTTTATTGCTCTTATTAGGCCTGTTGGTTTCATTGCTTTGCTGGCTTTTGTTGTAGTGTTAGGTTACTGAAACAACCACTGTTGTCTGTGTTCTGATAGGTGTTCCCTTGAAGCTCTGAAACAGTGTTGTAGTGTTAGATTACTGAAACAACCACTGTTGTCTGTGTTCTGATAGGTGTTCCCTTGAAGCTCTGAAACAGTGTTGTAGTGTTAGGTTACTGAAACAACCACTGTAGTCTGTGTTCTAGTGGAT